CATGACGAAATCATCATATTCGTGCCTGACGCTGCTTCTCAGAAAGTATGTGTAACTCTACATCCCGCGCCTGCAGTCGTATGCAGAGATACCTTCTCCAAGGGCGTATTATAGGTCCAATCATGAGGGATCTTACAGGCCCTGGTTTAGGACGGCAGCATAAGCCGTCGAACCGCATGATCATACGTCCGATATTAGGCAAGTTAGGGGAGACAAGAGATAGAAAAAGAAAAGTGAAAGGAGTACAATCTTGAGGGGACCTGAACAGAGCTTACATGCGAGTCTAAGCCAACCAGCCAGTCCCATGGGGTTACTCCAAGTAGAGGTAAAAGGCGTGACATGCTTTGCTACCAACGTCATTGTGCCTGCAATGTAAATATTCCCCCCCCTTCTTTCTCCTCACGAAGCTTGCTATAAACTAGCCTTTCTGACTCTTTATTTACTTTTCCTTAGATCCTCACATCCTTAGCTCGGTATAATCTATTGCTTGGTGCTAGACCTTCCCATTGTTGCACCGCAATCAAGGTAGGCCAAGCCAGACTTGTTCAAGTGGCAGGCTCGTACAAGACTATATATACCACGATACGCTCTCTTCCAAGATGGCGCCAGGCGCGGTAGTAGATGATCGTCACCATGGCTCCTCTAGCTCCTCGTCTCCTTCAAAACCGCGAATCCTAGTCCCCGAAAAGGTCTCTCCCGATGGCCTCGCCATGCTCGCCTCGGATTTCGAGGTCGACTCTCGACCGGGCGGCCTCTCGCCCCAAGAGCTCATTGAGCTGATCCCGTCGTACCACGGCCTCATTGTCCGGTCCGAAACCAAGGTCACGTCCGAAGTGCTCACGGCGGGCAGGAACCTGCGCGTGGTGGCCCGCGCCGGCGTCGGGGTCGACAATATCGACGTGGACGCGGCCACGGCGCAGGGCATCATTGTGGTCAACTCGCCGTCGGGCAACATTGTCGCGGCGGCCGAGCACACGGTGGCCCTGCTGCTGGCCACGGCGCGCAACATTGGGCGCGCGGACCGCACCTTCAAGGCCGGGCGGTGGGAGCGCGGCAAGCTCGTGGGCGTCGAGGTCGGCCGCAAGACGCTCGGCATCATTGGCCTCGGCAAGGTCGGCATGAAAGTCGCCCGCATGGCCGTGGGCTTGGGCATGAAGGTCTTGGCCGCCGACCCCTATGCGAGTGCCGATGTGGCCCGCGGCGCCGGCGTCGAGCTCGTGAGCGGCGGCCTGCCCGATCTGCTGCCAGTCGTGGATTTCCTCACCATACATACCCCTTTGCTTGCCTCCACGCTGGACCTGCTCGGCGAGGACGAGTTTCGCAAGATGAAGAAGACGGCTCGTGTGCTCAACGTCGCGCGCGGCGGTGTGTACAATGAGGCTGCTCTGCTTAAGGCACTGGACGAGGGATGGATCGCTGGTGCCGGCCTCGACGTCTTTACCAAGGAGCCACCAGAGGAGGGCAGCGTAGCAGCTCAGCTGGCCCGCCACGAAAAGGTGGTCAGCACGCCGCATCTGGGTGCCAGCACGGTCGAGGCTCAGGAAAACGTTAGTTTAGACGTATGCGGACAGGTTCTACTGATATTACAAGGTGGGCTACCAACAGCGGCCGTCAATGCCCCTCTGATCCTGCCCGAAGAGTATCGCAAGCTGCAGCCGTTTGTTCGACTTGTCGAGAAGATGGGCGGCCTGTATACGCAACATTATGTAACCCGTGCCGGCAGCCGCGCACGGGTCGGCGGGCGCCGTTTCGAGCTTGTCTATCAGGGCGAACTGGCCGGCGTGTCCAACACGAGGCCGGTATTTGCGGCGCTGGTCAAGGGCCTCGTCGGGCCCTTTTCCGAGAGCGGCGGCCGCGACGTCAACATTGTCAACGCGACGCTGATTGCCAAGGAAAAGGGCATCGTGATCGACGAGGTGCACACGCGCGGAGCGGCGGCTGATGGCGCGGCACCGTACTCGAGCCTGGTGACCCTACGGTCATACGATGGCACGACCACCGGGGAGGGCAGAGGTGAGCAGATCATTGAGGGCTATGTGAGCGGCCGTAGTATCTTCATCTCCAAGCTGGATCGCTTCACTTCCTCCTTCACACCCGAGGGCACCCTGCTCATTCTCCACAACTATGATGAGCCAGGCAAGATTGGAGGCGTCGGCATGGCGCTGGGAAGCAAGGGCGTCAACATTGAGTGGATGCAGGTGGCTAGCCTCGTGGATAAGAAGGACGGGCGCTCGTCGGGTGCTGGAGGAGAGGAGGATCTTGGCCTCGCAAAGGTCGACAGCGCTGTCGCTGGCGTGGCTGCGGGCGGCAACGGTAAGCGAGGCAATGAGGCGCTCATGATCCTGGGCGTCGGCGGGCCGGTTGGCAATGACGTACTAGAGAGTCTGAAACAAGAAGAAGGTATCCTAGATGTCAGCCTGATTAGATTGTAGATTCTGTATCCGCGAGCATGGAATCTGATTGGTAGCATGAGTTAGTAGGTATCATTTTGTTAGTTTATCTTTGTGGCACATTCAACCTGTACCCAATACCATTTCTCCAATTCTATATCTCTCTCACACCTAGCAAGATGTCTTAGATTGCTTCGTGGGATCGAAGCACCTCCGGCAGAAGCAAGGAACCTCGGACTGTTTTGGAATGTATGGGGTATCTCAATTATGCTGCAACTATGGTATCAACAAAAACGGGAAGAACTCTAGTATTACATGTGTCTGCCGCGATTACGCACGGCTATTCTGGCTCATGTTGTGGTCGTTCATTTCGAGTCCGATGCGAGGGCTTCTCTACAGCTTGTACTCGTCGCGGCCGAGGCGGACCACGTCGGCCTGCTCCAGAACCCAGTACTTGCTGGGAGCCTTGCCGTCACGGGCCAGCAGAGCGGCATTGACGGCGGCACGGGCAATAACGTTGGCATCCTGGCCGAGACGGTCGCGGGCAAAACCGGGCATGACGTTGATGACGGTGTGAAATAGGGTCGAGCCTCCCTTCTTGGGAGTCTCGCGCTCGCCCAGGATGGCGCCGGGTCGCACAATAATGGTCTGCTCAAACTCGAGCTCCTTGATGGTCTTCTCGACACCCTGCTTCATCTGCGAGTAGGGGACCCGGTTGGCGAGCATGCCCTCGGTGCCGGCAGAGGAGATGAAGACAAAGGTCTTGATGCCTTGCTCGCGGGCTGCTTTGGCAATGTCGACGTTGACTAGGATTTGCAAGAGACATTGGTTAGTTTGGCTATCCGTCATTCACATCGGCAGGGATACTGGGGGATTGCCCTTGGGGAAATGCTCACGATCATGGTCAATCTTCCACTGATTAGCGATGCCGCCAGCTGCGGCTCTGGTGGTGCCCACGGACGAGAAGAGCACGTCTGGCGGAGGGGCAATGGCGGATAGGGCGGAAGTCCACTTTGCAGTGTCGGCCTCGATGTGAGCGTTGAGCTTGGCTCCCTCTCTTGTAGGGGCGCGGCGCGAGATGGTGTGGACGGCGCTGATGCTGTCAATACCAAGCAACGTCGACAGAATGTTGGCGCCGACAAAGCCAGTGCTGCCGAAGATGGCGGTAGACGTCATTTTCTTTATCTGATGGAATTTGTGGTTGTACGTTGTAGAACAAGTCAAGGTGGTTTGGAAGGAGTAAATAGCTAGGGAGAAGATGAACAGTTTCAGAGTTGAGACCAAGAGACAAGTCGCTTCTTATCTAGAATAGCAATGAATGGTTTCATTCAAGCGCAACCATGGATATTCCAAGCATCAATTGCATTCTGGGCAGGGCGGGCCACGAAATTCTCGAGTCATGTCAATTCCGCGGTTCTCGGTTGCCAGGGTACGTAGGTAGGTATTAACAATCAACTATAAGGGAAGCACATGGAAATTTGAGCTTTAACATGGGCTGCACCAGTTTTTCTTTTACACTTTTTGACATTACTGATATACTCGGCAATCGGACTACTCTTCACAACAGTGTCACTATCGCAATTTGCCAGCTCGAAATGTTATTCTCATTCAAGCCATCATGTTACAACATGATAATGAAGCTAATCGTGGATCGTGCTGAGCTTGTACGTAGTACCGTTAAGGTCGTCAGTACACTGATTACCACTAAATTGGACGGAGCTCCAGGGCTCTTTTTGGAGCTGCCAAAACAGATGACATAATCCAGTGCTCTAACCTCCGCAAGCTCCGGGTGGGATTTCTCTACACGCTAAATGTGCTGTAACTGGACCCTTGACAGCAGCGGAATTTGCCCCGCCGATCCCTGATTTGATGGCATCATCATTGCACCGCCGCCAGAATTCCAAATAATTCATGATACCCATCCAACTCACCCGCTCATATGATCTCTTTTTTTCCTCAAGTACTTGCATTGATATCTGTCAGCACTCGCCAACAGGAAAAACCACTCTATATACGACGATAGACTGAGTATAAGAAGCACATTCAGAAACAAGACAAAAATACCCAGTACCCAGCCATTTGGCAGCGTAAACTTGACTTGTCCAATTAAGAGACAGACCAGAATTTCTTCATGCGACTGCCGCCCTTCTCCACTTTCCTTCGCTCATTGTATACCTTCTCCAGCTTCACCAGAGCTCGAGCCTCGGCACACCAATCACTGCGTCGAAGCCCAGAAACCTTGAGGTCCATGCCCAGCATCCCCTTCTTCGGCAGTCTCTTCAGTTCGTCGAGCTCTAGCAAGATGTCTTATCCGGACCAGCGGACAGATGACGAGTGGCGGGCCGTCTTGAACAAAGGTATGTAGTAATGTGGGACCATAGAACTTCCTCCGCTGCCGCCGGCGGTGATCCGCCTCATTACTGACTCGGTACCGCCAACAGAGCAGTTTAGAATCCTGAGAGAAAAGGGCACGGAGCCCCCGGGATCTGGCAAGTTTGACAAGACCTACCCTGAGACGGGCGTCTTTACGTGCGCCGGCTGCAATGCTCCCCTGTACAAGGCCACGCACAAGTTCAAGTCGGGCTGTGGCTGGCCCGCCTACTTTGACAGCATTCCCGGCGCCGTCACCCGCCACACCGACAACACTTTCGGCATGGCCCGGACTGAGATTGTGTGCTCCAACTGCGGAGGACATCTGGGCCACGTCTTCAAGGGAGAAGGCTACCCTACGCCCACTGACGAGCGTCACTGCGTCAACAGCGTCAGCCTGAGCTTTTCGCCCGAGGACCCTGTTGAAAAGTCCAGCTAGATGTACTTTATTAGGTTGAGACTGGCACCGGGTGCAGTCATTCGGTTGTATTCGAAGTTTAAAAAAAAAATGAACAGAGAAGATTTCATCCAGAGCATCTCAGTTACCCAGGCAACCAGGTCAATATTCCCATTTGTGAATGTGCTGCTCCGATATGTTGGGTTTTTTTTTCTTATCTCGGCGATGAAGTTTCTCTGCCATAACGACCCAAGGTGCCTCATCGTACCCAAGGAGCACCAGAAACGACTGTAAATAATGCTTAAACATGTTTTCTCTTTTGTTTGTCGTATTAATTTGAGGGCATCCACAACGCGCCGTTTGTGGCGTCCTGGATCTTTTCGGGGGTAGTACATTCCCGGGTAGTTAGGCTCCAGGCAGATATAGTTGAAAAGGCTCTTTAGCAGCTCTGCGCTTTCTTACAGTACTTGTCAGTGTACGGGTCACCTGTGACGGTACGGCCAGCTTCCACACTCTCCTTTCCCTCCCTCTACCCATGCTCAGTGGGCAGAGTGCAAATACATCAAGTATATTGTCTTAATGTAGTCAACTCTTGGTTGTTATTAGACCACCTTACAAGAGCTCGACGACTTAGAGCCGTCTTTAGATCAGTTTCGAGATGGCAATAGCAGTGTATGTGTTGGAGAGATGCTTCGTAAAGGCGAAAGAGAGTATTCGGCCGAATATGAAGAAAAAACGCCGAGGCTACTGCCTCCCCTGTCAGAACCATCCACGAGGGCTACTCATCATGATCGAATTTTCTGCCATGATACTTTCCTCTCCAGCTGCTTCCTTCGATTGATAGTGGTATCACATCGCGAAGAACTTGCTACCCTAAGTGATCCGGCGCAAAATCAACAGATATATCTTGGACAGCTTCTTTGCTTGCTTCAAATGTTTCTCCCATAAAGTTGCCAGCAATCCATTGTAGACACGTAATGATTTCGAATCTCATGTTTTGTCTGTTACAGCATAAGTAAAACCACAACTGTTTGAATATTACTTATCTTTCTTCTGGATGTCTCAAGGAGCTTGGAAAGAATATACTGCATGTCAAAATTCGAGAGAAAGCTAGATCGGGAGTCTGACCTGCTCACTATGAGCGGACACCTCCGACACAATTCCAAAATTGTAACTGGGCGTGACAAGGGCATACGCGTACCTGATGGTGTCGTTAGTGGTCGGACGCTCGTATGATACAGACTTGGAAAGGGGTTCCTAGATCTTTCTCCGGATTTCTCGTTAATGGCATGTCAGATTAAACATTAAACTTCATGTCGCATCGAACCTACTCTAGGTACCTTGTTAGAGTGCCACTATGATCATCCTGTTGTGAAGAACACTGTTGATGTAGGCAGTTAGGCAGTCAAGAGCAGACTCCCAGAGATGGCAAAAACCATTGTTTACATTCAGAAAACTCAAATTTGTCTCCCATCTCGTCTAAAAACAGAGCCTTGCTTGTTCCACAGTATCTTTTGCTTCTCATTTTCCTCACCCAGACAACATCTCTGCTCCCTTCTTCGAATCGGTTAACCATCTTGCTACTCTTGCAACAATACGCTCAAAACACTGTAGTGGTTCAAATCATATCAGTCAACTTGATTATATCTCACTTCCTCTGTTCATTGAGTCGTCTCTCTACCTCAAGTCTACTGGACCACCTGCTGCTCTCTTAACACCACAACCAACACGTCGCAGTGGTTCCACTCACACCTAGTAACTGGATTCCACCTCTCCTGTCCATTTTTCCGATCAAGAAAATCAAAATGGGCGAGAACAAGAAGCAGACCACTGCTCAGAACATCACTGAGAAGGCCACTGCTCCGGTGACTCCCGAGAGTGCTGTCAAAGAGCCGGTTTACCGGCATCAGTACTATCTGAGATCTCGAGCCCCAATCGGCGAAAGGACACTTCCCTGTAAGTCCCAAAAGACCATTTGCTTTTCTTGCCTTTATCATTTCGCGTGCCTCGTTCAAGACAGTCTGCTTCTATTGAATTGTGACCCCGTCTCATCTTTCTATCCTGTGGAAACGAATTCCTACCCATTACCTGTAGCTCAACCACTCCCCCGAGAAGGAATTGACAAGCTGACATGTATGTGACTCCCCAGTTCGCATCGAGCGGAAGACCCCCGGCGGGCGTGTCAATCTCAGGGTTGTCAAGCCCGGCACTTCCAAGCTCGCCCAAAGCCGAGCTTCGCTCATCATCCGACAAACTCCCCAAGTCAGAATCAAGGTTATTGGCCGCTGGGCGGGAGTAGCTCGCCTGGCTGAAGAGCGTAAGGCTGGCCATGAGCGCACTGAGGTGCCGCTAGAAAAGCCCAATCAAGACGAAGACGATGCCGAGGAGTGCGTTGAGGAGGGCGACGGAGATGCCGAGGAGACCGAGGAGTAGAAGGGACGAGGGCAGCTTCTCTCCGAAGCACACTGTCCGCTCAGGATTTTGCTTTCAACTTTGTCACCATATTTGCTTTCTTTTGCATTTTCATTTTCCCAACATTCGCCTTGGCATTTGTTTGGACCTGATCACCGGTTGAGCAATGCTCCCGGGTGGATGAAAGGATCTACGGAAAGGAGTTTTGGCATTATCATTTGGAAATACCCCCTCATCATCATTATCGTCGAACGCTTCGATCGGATTGCAACAGGATACACAGAAAGGAGTTTTGGCATGTTACATGGAAATACCCCCCTCATAATCATCATCGTCGTCATCGTTGTTGTCGTCGAATGTTTTGGCATGGGTCATTACAGGATACACGGAAAGGAGCTATAGCATCATCATCTATAAATTCCTTCTCTTCATCGAAGATCGAAGGAAGAAATAGAAACCTGTTAAATCAATCTGGCCTTTCAATTGTGATATTTGATTACGTTTCTTGTTGCTGAGCATGCGTAATGCATACTTGACTTCTATTATTTCAAGACTTACCACCCACTACCTCCCAATAAATGTCTCGTATCGACCCCTTGTCAAACAATCATATTCCGGTAGTCCCCTCTGCACCTAAGTGAATTGCTTCTTCTGGCCATCTTATACAAGAGCATAGAGAATCTCGCAATTTTTTCAAAACCAAGTCGATGTATTTTTGGCAACACATATTCACTTGTATTCTATACTTCTATTTAGTTCCGTTTGCTGGCAAGGGCTCACGGACAGCACTCATAATTTCACACTAGATATTTCTAGAACATCTTCCACGAAAGGTCAGAGAATCTATATTGCTGTTTTCCCTGCGGTTCCTAGTGCAACTTTTCGGTACCGTTTCCCCCTTGAAGACTTTTGGGGCAAAGCTCCTACAACACCAAGAATCCCTTCACAATTACACCAAATTGCTTGTTGCTACCACGGAAAAATTGTTATTTGCTGTTCGAAATCCCTCGTATCATACATTAAATGGAATATATCATTCCATGTCAAGCACTAAATTCCATGCCACCTGCAATGTGTAGATGACCGTATGATCAAGCCAACTACCTGTTCGCAATACCACTTTTCTTAATCCACCATAATGAGCTCCAAGACTCAATGCCGTTAGGATTTCGAATTATTATATTCCCATGGGATGTTCCGTGGTTCCAGGCTCGAGATTCCCGACATGGCCGGGAGCAAAAGCGGTAATGCAGCATGATGATTGCCCCAAACGGTTAGGTTCACCCAGGTCCGCACCTATGATGTCTACCGACTCTTGACAAAGACCATTGATTATTTAGACCCCCAATAGTGCGAGCTGCTCTCTTCAACTCAGCACAATATACAAGCTTAACTCAAAGAAGATTTAACAAGTGAGCTCAAGCCAGACTATTGCATAGATTTACCGCGCAGCAGAAAGAAGTGGCGACCATGAAGACGGCACTGCTGGTGATTGATATGCAGCAATACTTTAGCGACATGGCTGAAAAGGCCACGCCCAACATCAAGACGCTTCAGAAGCACTTTTCAGACCAAGCAAAGCCCATCATTTACACGCAGCACGGCCATCCAGAAGAGGATTTTAAGCGTCCCTACAAAAACCAGCTCGTGCGCAAATGGGGAGTCGACGGCTCCATCCACCGCGGGAGTCCCGACTGGGAGCTGATTCCCTGGGTGAAGCAGTCCGTCGGCGACGCGCCCGTGGTCGCCAAGAACACCTACGACGCCTTTGTCAATACCAACCTCGCCCAGTTGCTCGAGCGCGACCAGGTGGACCGCGTCGTCGTTTGCGGGGTCATGACGGACTGCTGCTGTGAGACGACGGCCCGGAGCGCGTTCAATCTCGGCTGGGAGACGTGGCTGGTCAGTGATGCGTGCTATAGTGTCGACGAGGAGCAGCATCAACGGAGTCTGCATGATTTTGCTTTTGGGTACGGCCCCTTGTGGACGACGGACCAAGTCATTGATGCACTGAAAAAGGAGGACAAGTTGTAGTGAAAGCAGAAGAGGTGAAAATGTGGTATTCTTTTTCTCCTCATGCTGGAAAATGGAAGTCGCCTTGATGAAGCCATTTTGTGACTGGTGACATATTTTCAAAGTGTTTGTTGTCTGCCTACTACCGACTCGAAGCTGCGCATTGCCATGTACAGTAGCTTGGCATTCAAAAAGTCTAAGAATTGCTTTTGTCGATATTCCCAACAGATTTTCTCGTGAGCTGCTAGTATTATATAGGTATTTGAATCATCTGTCGACGCTTATCTCAATTAATTTCCGTTATCTACTGTAGGTCGTCAATATCTTGAAAATTGCCAACTACAAGTATGCAGATGAAAGGTCCAAGGACTCTTGGAAATTCATATTTCTTTTACACAATCAGCTCTTGCCCAACCCTTCAGTTGGAGGAACCAGGAGATATTGTTATAAATATATAAAACTACATGTCCTTCACTTTTACCAAATTGTTTCTCTTCGGGAAACTTTAAGCCACCACGCTTGGCTTCCAGGGGCTAGACTGCTCCGGGACTGCGGTGAGACGAAACCCCCAAGACCCCCAGCTTTGCCGGCCAACCGTTGTTGGTCTGGCTTAACCCCGAGAGGGATCCCTTTTTCTTTTTTAAAGTTGACCGACTGCTCTGGTCATCTGCTTGAGAAAAAGAATCACATTCTCCTTGTGCTGTCACACGAATCGTTGGTCAATTCCTTCTTCGTCTGTTCATTCATACATCCATCATCCGACCAAGTCATACATCAAAAAAATACCATCTCGGAGGTTGAATGGCAACACAGTTAGCTAGCCTGGGCCGGGCTAGGGCCAGAGCTGTAGAAGCAGCTCCAGCTCTGCTTCGTTCAAACGCTGTTGTTGCAAATGGGCATTTTTATAATGCATCTCGGTGTCGGTGGCGCGGCACTCTATCCACAGGTATGGGCTTTCTCTTCACCATTTTCCTTTTCCCATCGTCTACGCGTTTACCCAATCCAATATTTTTTTTTTCTCTCTCCCCGGCTTATCTTTGCGCGCGGGCTCGGGTTCGGCGACATCTGAAGTCTGACTGTACACTATTCCGTACACGATGAGCTCCACTATCGACTTAGCTCAGAGCCCCGATATCATAATTCCCCGATCTCGGCCGCCCGCGAAACAACCTCAAGCTTCGTTGCAACGCCGTCACTGCCAAATTCAGCCTACGAACATGATACAAGTGGATCAGAAGACACCCAGCCCTTTCGGGTCATACCCTTTGACGAATCCACCCATGGCAGTGTGAATGGGGACCCTGGCACCGATTTTCTGATCGTCACTCAACTAGCAACATGCGGTGTTTCCCAATGATCATGCGAACCAAATTCCTTGGATTTTTTTTCTATTTGTTCCCAGTGGTGGTCCATCGTGTCTAGTCGCTGGACTTCTTGTGTCTTTCGCTCTCATTTTGTTTCCACAAAAAAGAATCCCCATTCCTAGCCTGTCCTCACCGTTGTTCGCTTGGGTTATCATCAAGGCAGTCACTAGTATCGTTTGTTAACCTTGCCCTGGCTTGATAGCAGGTACCCCGCCGGCGCCACTATTACTACTATCTTCGTCGTCAACTACCCCTCCATCGCGACAAAAGTTCTTGTTAGATTGCCACACACGAAGTTTTCACAGCAGCGTCGCAACCATGGGCCGTCTCAACATCAAGAACATCAACCCGCACGTTGTCGAGGCCAAGTACGCCGTCCGCGGTGAACTGGCCGTCAAGTCGGAGGAGTACCGTGCCAAGATCCGCAAGGGCGACGCCAAGGACCTGCCCTTTGACCAGGTCATCAGCGCCAACATTGGCAACCCCCAGCAGCTCGACCAGAAGCCCATTACCTTTTTCCGCCAGGTCCTCAGTCTGCTCGAGAACCCGCTGCTGCTCGAGCACGAGGATGTACTGATCAACAGCCTCGGATACAAGTCCGATGTCATTAGCCGCGCAAAGTGGCTCTTGAGCCAGGTTGGAAGTGTTGGAGCCTACAGCGCCAGTGCTGGTGTGCCGGCGATCAAGGAGAGCATCGCCAAGTTCCTGGAGAGTATGTGGATTCCCCGTGTCGCAGAGCATTCTTGGAGTTGCATCGGCTGACAGACTATACAGAGCGCGACGGTTTCGCTGCCGACCCTGCCCACATTTACCTTTCGGCCGGAGCGTCGTCTGGCGTTAACACACTCCTCCACACCATCTGTGCCGGTCCTGACACGGGAATTCTCGTTCCCATTCCTCAATACCCCCTGTACACGGCTTCCCTGTCAGTTCTGGACGCCAAGTGCGTTCCCTACTACCTCGATGAGTCGTCGAACTGGGGTACCTCTCTCGAGGAGATCAAGGAGTCTTACGAAAAGGCCAAGAGCAGCGGCACCGACGTCCGCGCCATTGTCATCATCAACCCCGGAAACCCGACTGGCGCCTCGCTCTCCGAGGGCGACATTCGCTCCGTGATCGACTTTGCCGTGCAGGAGAACCTCGTCATCATGGCTGACGAGGTCTACCAGACCAACGTCTTCCTCGGCGCCTTCCACTCTTTCCGTGAGATTCTGCTCAAGCTGCAGAAGGAGAACTCGGACAAGTACAAGGGCGTCGAGCTCGCATCTCTGCACTCCATTTCCAAGGGTATGGTCGGCGAGTGCGGTCACCGTGGCGGCTACTTTGAGCTGATTGGTTTCGACCCCGAGGTCGAGGCCGAGATCTACAAGTTCGTCTCCATCACCCTGTGCGCCCCCGTCATTGGCCAGTGCCTGGTCGAGCTCATGGTCAACCCGCCCCAAAAGGGCGAGCCGTCCTTTGAGCTCTACGACAAGGAGTACAGCAAGATCTTCAACGGCCTCAAGGAGCGCGCCTTTGCCCTCTACGAGGCCTTCAAGGACATGGAGGGCGTCGAGTGCGGCGAGCCCCAGGGTTCCATGTACCTCTTCCCCACCATCCACGTCCCGGCCAAGGCCGCCGAGGCCGCAAAGAAGGAGGGCCGTACCCCCGACGAGTTGTACTGCATGCGCCTGCTCGAGGCTACCGGCGTCTGTGTCGTTCCGGGCTCCGGATTCGGTCAGAGAGAGGGCAGTCTGCACTTTAGAACCACCTTCCTGGCCCCCGGCACCGAGTGGATTGGCAGCATCAAGAAGTTCCACAAGGAGTTTATGGACGAGTTCCGATGAATTGGTGTCTAGAAAGAGCTGGCCTTTTCTTTGTAAGAGGAAAGATGTTGAGCTTTTAAGTTGCTTCTCCCAGCCCTCCTTTTCGCAATCTAGATGTCTCACGATGAGAACTGGTTTTTATACCAGCCGCACTGCATATAACCCCATCATACCATGTTGCGTTTGATTCTAGCATCTCGGATTATGATTTGCGCTGTTGTCTTGAACTTTCGACAGGAAGCATAAAATGGAACGTAGAGGGTAAATCAAAGAATAAAGAATAAACGAAACAAAATTATCCCATCAAATCAGTCTGGGAATGAGCTTGCATCACTTTCATTGAATTAGTTCATTTGGTTGCGCCTATCTATTTGCATGCATGCCTTCCTTCTTCTTTCATATGTATAGCCATGCTCTAATATTCACATGTCCTCTCTGACACTGTGACGGCCCATGCAACCTGATGTTACAATAATTGAATTATGCACGCTCGCTTCCGCGTAGACGCACAGCCTGACCATACTTCTGGAGTTTGGTAATGAGCTGATCGCCTTGCTTTACAACGTCCTGGTACTGCTTGTTCTTATCGTCGGGGCGGTTTGTCTCAATAACGCCCTTGCCCGTCACACGGTCAATGGTGCAGGGAATCCGGCCACCAGCGATGAACTTTGCGAGATCACTAATGGAATATGTTAGTTTCTAGTGTGGCGCTCAGAGGCAACAAATAAAGGTAACTCACCGGTCCAAGAAATCCACTGTTACACCAAAGTCGTTTGCCATGCTCTCCAGACCGACGACACGGTAGCTTTGCAGCAGTTGCTGGTAAGCGCGGAGGCGCATCTCACGAATAAACCAGCCTCGGTGCTCGTGCAGGTAGCGGTCCTGCGTCAAGAACTGCTCCTCTACGAGAGCGAGAGCCTGGAAGAAAAGCTTGTAGTGACCGTTGTACAGGCTGTTGACAAGCTGCGCTAACGACGAGAAATCAACAGCAGCTTCTGTCTCGGTTTGGTCGGCACCGGAGCCGAGGGTAGTCAGGTTCACGACTGTGGTGCCCTTGGGTGCAGCACTGGCAGACTTGGCGGTTGTACCGGACATGCTAGTATCCTCGTCGGCACCAGGACCGGCAGAGATGGCGCCCGACAGGGCAAGAATCTTGTCCTCACCATCTGCACCCAGAATAGCCTTGATCTCGGGCGCGTCCACGACCTTGCTCTTGAAGTCTACCCGCTTCAGGGACACCGAACCTGCTAATACGGAGTAGACGACCAAGTTGGAATATGTGCACAATTCGTAGCTGGTAAAGGTGGAGAGCGAGTCAAGGAGCAAGGGAGCGGCGAGGTTGTAGGAACGGACAGTAAGCAGATGGAGACCCTCGTAGGCCTTGAGGCGGTTGCGACGGTCCCAGTCACCTCCACTCTCAACCAGTGCCTTTGCTCTGATAATCTGCTTCTTGACTAATGACTTGTCGCCAAAAAAGAGGCCGACACGGATGATGGCGAGTACCAGATCGATCTTGGTACCTAGTATACCGGTCTTCTCGAACAGGTCCTCGTATGCGGCTATCGCCTTGTCCTGCAATGCGCCACCTCATATTAGCAGTAGTTCCAGTATGTGAGCATGTTTGCGTACCTTGTCGCCAACTCTAGCATAAATCTCTGCTCTCTTTCCTCGTGCAGCCGAGACCTCGGTGTCGCCAGCCTTCTCAACAGCCTCGTCCTCCTCCTTCTGCAGATCCTCGAGCTCCTTGTCATTCTCGGCCTTCAATTTCTTGTAGACATCCTCATCCCATGGAAGACTAGCGGTCTTGGAAGAACCGGTAGCAACCATGCCAACGGTGCTGGGCTTGCGACCTGTGGACTTCTGCGATGACGCAGCTGTTCCCTCGCCGGCGGGGTTCAGGATGCCTTCGGTCGGGTGCGCCAGGTACCGGTAAAGCGGTGCCATCTTGTGCTCGCTGATAGCATCTTGGAGGGCTTTTGTGGAAGCTTGGATAGCAGGCCGGGCGGCGTAGGGATTCGTGAGCGTAAAGACGTGCTGGCTCAATGGCAACAAGGGCCATTTGGCGTACTGCGGCTCAGAGCCCATGGTTGCTGTGGTGGGATATGGACTGTGATGATGTGCTTATGTTGGATGTTTTACTCGAGAACTTGTGCCCCTCGTAAAGTTCAAACGATGGTGGGTACTGATCCGTGGTCGGGAGGACAGAGGTCGAGAGTCGCCAATTGAATTGTAGATGTGTTGTAGTAGTAGTGATCAAACTACAGCTCCAGCCTTCGGTCCGCTACGTACGTGGTGGGTGAGAGGCGGCGAGCTTGGGTAGGTTGAATGCTGTTTGACTGGGTCCTAGACAGGGCGAGTGGCCCGAGCGGTAAGGCGGCAGGAAGCTCTCGTAATGCAACAAGCTGCGACCAATCACAAAGTGCCCTGCCCGTGGGTGGTTCTGGGGCCTGAACGAGCCTCAAGAGGTACGTACTGGGCCTGCCCCCGACCACTCCAGAAAGCAAGCAAACAAGCACTGGGGATTCAGGACGATCCACTGCCCGTTCCCCTAGACCAGGTTCAGGTTTAGCTAGAAGGAAGAAGGTCACATACTACTACTGTACCCAGTCTAGTACCTGCTTTGCATTTTCCGATTCCCTTTCTACCTCGACAAAGCAAAACCAGTCAAGAATTTTCTTGCCCTGACAAACAGTTATTCCAATCAACTTTGCTCGCCTGCAGAAGAAGTCTTGAATACCACAAAACTTTCCACTCGTGCAAGTTACACCACCCAAAACCAGAATCGCATCCGCAACATTCATCATGGCTAGCGACGCAGAAGACAACGTGAGGCCAAAGAAACGTCTCGTGCCTGGCACCAAGCGCAAGCACTCTCAATCTCCCGAGCGCAGTGGTGGAAGGAGCGCAAGACGTGAAGAGTCCGAAGACCAAGACGAGTTGCCGCAGCCCTACGATGCAAAGAAACTCGAACCCGCCAAGAAGCGCCAACGATCGACGTCCCCTTCAGCTGGAGCCCGCAAGCAGAAGAGACCTGGTCGAGTAGCACGTCTCTCCTCGCGCGAACGAGACGAAGCAAGAAGACGCCAGGAAGAGCGCGAAAAGGCTGCTGCCATTGCCGCAGAGCAGGCCGCGAGGGGCGCTATTAATGATGTCGTGCGACAGCACTACAACGCGGTGCCCGAGAGAGGTCGAGACTGGCGCAAGACAGACAGCAACATCAAGGGCCTACGAGTGTTCAACAATTGGGTCAAGAGCACCATCATTCAAAAGTTCTCGCCCGATGAGGATCACACACCAGGTGCCCATGAGCAGGGCAGAGATTTAGCCGGCGTCGGAGGCAAAGAATTGCTGGTCCTCGACATAGGCTGCGGAAAAGGTGGTGACTTGGGAAAGTGGCAGCAGGCACCCCAACCCGTACAACTCTATGTTGGTCTGGACCCCGCCGAAATCTCGATCCAACAGGCTGAGGATCGCTACCATCAAATGTCACAACGAGGCGGACGAGGCGGCAGGGGTGGCAGGGGCGGCCATAGGGGTGGCCGCAACCAACGCTTGTTTGAAGCCTATTTCTACCCCAAAGATTGCTACGGCACTTCAATCGGTGACATCAACATTATCCAGGATGTCGGTTTCGAGTCCTCCAATCCTGCTCGCGGTTTTGACATTGTCAGCATGATGTTTTGCATGCATTACGCCTTTGAGTCGGAGCAGAAGGCTCGTCAGATGCTCAAGAATGTTTCGGGGGCACTCAGAAAGGGCGGTCGGCTGCTTGGATGTATACCCAACTCTGATATCATTGGTGAAAATGTCACCAAATTCAACGAACGCATGAGCGCCAAGAAAGCTGAAGAAGCCGACGGTGAAGCACCCCCATCTGATGACCATGAGGAGGGAGAAGCTGAGCAAACGGCGGAATGGGGCAACAGCCTGTACAGAGTGAGATTCCCCGGCAAGACTCCAGAAGACGGCATCTTCCGACCTCCTTTTGGCTGGAAGTACAACTTCTTCTTGGATGAAGCAGTCGAAGAGGTGCCCGAGTACGTTGTGCCATGGGAGGCGTTCAGAGCTCTTGCAGAAGACTACAACCTTGAATTGCAATGGCATGAATCCTTCAAGGACATTTGGGAGAAGGAGAAAGACGACCGAATACTGGGGCCGCTCAGCGAAAGAATGGGCGTTCGCGAGCGGGGTGGTGGTCCGATGCTCGTCACACCCGCGGAGCTGGAGGTTGCAAATTTCTACGTTGCATTCTGTTTTTACAAAGTCTAAAAGAGCCGGAACAAGACTGATTCTGCTCGATACCGGGATCGGTTGGGCAATATTGTACATTATTGTTCTCAAGCTAGGACCTCATGCCATCACAAACTGCTCAAGTGTCCTAAAATCGCAACGGGTTAAAATCCAAAGAGCGTGCTCCGTGATTCAGAACTTCCAAGTGATGAAGCTTGCCAGCAATCAACCCTCGGATGGCTAACCGACCTTTACTTCCGCTTCTTTGGACTTTATTCTCAAGAAACCGGCCAGACATCCGATTGCCAAGGCCAGCGGTGTCATTGATTGACGCATCACGATGGAGATCAAAGGTGAGCACTGGCGCGGAGAGTGGTCCTAAGTCGGACCCGGATTCCCCACATCACGATGTCAGTATACCAAGCAAATCGTTCTGATGTGAGTATAGAATGACACTTGAGAGGGGAGTGGGATTGAAAACCTACTCCATCCCATCCACATAACAAGGTCATAGGCACAGACATTTTTTTTTTCCTCTGGGGAAACCTGCCCGATTTCAGGTCGAGTGGATTTGATATCATGCGAGTCACGCCCTATATGTCAAGTGACTAATTAAAACTGCTTCTTTATAGCGAGGTCAATGGCGTGAGCCGATCTCGCTTGTCTACCAACCAGAAGAAAGAAAAATCGAGTATATATGATATTCCCGAGGTATGTACAGACGCGAGTCACTTGCGAGGTATCTGCGCATTAAATTTAATCGAGTGTGCTTAACAATATGTCTGTCGAATTACAGGATCTCTCTGATGGGCAGACCTTGGCCCAGCGTGATGATGAGAGCCATGAGGAGCAACATTTACCACCCGTAGATGGAGGACCAGGGGCATGGAAGTACTTGTTTGCGAGCTTTGTCATTGAAGCTGTTCTCTGGGGTATGATTCTACCTTATAATAAATATTGTTTGTATTTTGAGACCCTCGCCGCTAACGGGGAAAAAAAAAAATAGGATTTACACTCACTTTTGGTGTTTTCCAGGAGTACTATTCAAAGCAGCCCGAATTCGAGGGGAGCAGCAACATCTCCGTGATTGGTGCCATCTCCACCAGTATGTATTTTCTAGGAGCTCCCATTGCAAGCCCGCTAGTACGGAGATATCAGCACTGGCAGAGACACATGGTCGTGGTCGGCTCGGCGCTGTGTGTGCTCGCTCTGCTGGCAGCCTCGTTTGCCACCTCGGTACCGGGTCTCATCGCCACCCAAGGGTTTCTGTATGGGCTCGGCTTCGCCATCCTGGGCTTCCCCGTCCTGCGCATGCTCGACGAGTGGTTCGTACGCCGCCGTGGACTGGCGTATGGGCTGCTATACGCTGGTGGCGGTCTGGCCGGTGCTGGACTGCCGTTTCTGCTCCAGACCCTGCTTGCAAAGTACGGTTACCAGACCACTCTGCGGGCTGCGGCCGTTGCCCAGTTTGTCCTGGTTGCCCCGATATTGCCCATGGTCAAGGCTCGCCTGCCAACATCGAATAATGGTGCCCTGCGAGCCGTCGACTGGTCTTTCCTGAAGAACCCGCTCTTTTGGTGCTTTGCCCTGTCCAACCTGTCCCAGGGTCTGGGCTTTTATATCCCGTCGCTATTCCTACCAACCTTTGCTTCGGATCTAGGACTGGCTGGTACCATGGGCGCCCTGATATTGGCCGCCAACAACCTCGCGAGCGTCATGGGCCAGCTCAGCTTTGGCTACCTGTGCGACCGCGTCGGCAACGTGCTAGTCCTCGTGTTTGCCTCGTCCTTTGTCTCGTCGGCCGCCGCCTTTTGCCTGTGGGGGTTTGCCCGGTCGCTGGGCGCCGTGCTCGCCTTTGCCCTCGTCTACGGCTGGTTCGCGGGCGCCTTTGTCGTCTTTTGGCAAAAGTTTGGCTCCACGCTGTCCCATGATCCGCAGCCCATCCTCTCGCTCATGGCTTTTGGCAAGGGCGTTGGCAACATCCTAGCCGCTCCCATTGCCGCCGAGCTCGTGACGCGCCCCGTCAGCTCGGGCTATGGCCTGGGAAAGTTTCAGGCTTTGATATTGTTCCTCGGCGCTTCCATGTTTTGTTCTTCTCTAGGCATTCTTGGGTCGCCCCTTAGGAAGCGCAGATGAGAACTGGAGGTGCTTGAAGACAGCCAGGTCCCTTCGAATACGACATGGGGATTTCGTCGCGCAACGAATAAGAACAATGATAGAACCCTGGGTTCAGATATTGAGTCTCACAAAAGTTTACATGATGTGATCCCAGCGTTGGTAGGAGTGGTATTTGATGTCGAGGTGTCGTCAAATTTCTTGGAATCTTGGAATTATTTCATATAGACACAGGCCCTGTTTGCAGCGAATAATCAAGTTACGACATGCAAAGGATCAATGCTTCAAAATTGTTGGAAAGCTTGACGCGGCCGATCTGGATACAAGTGCACGGTTGAATGAGAATAACATCTGCTGTATGATCATAGTCATTTCTAGCCAAAGAAGTCAAAACTTGGGTTATGCGTTGCAACTCTTGACGCGACCTACAGGTCCTCTACTAGGACTGTATAATTCTGAGATTGACAAGAGACACGAAATGGATGACCGTTCAGCAGAAGATTCGGCATGCCGCCACTGTCAAACACGGCCCCAAGTCTATAAGTGACCATAAATTATTAGAAGAGAGCCATATATGTGAACCAAAAGACACATCGCCCGTGGCTAGCATATGTGAGCTATCGATAAAGGTCAAGTACTCTGTAGCAAGGATTCCTACATGATCCTCGAAGGGGGCGACGGGAGCCACGATCTGTGCGTCTGAGGTGATACAAGACTTTGCAGCAAGCCGAGTATTTTCTTTTTACACAATACCCCCGAACCTGGTATTACATGCTGCCCAACAGGAGCCATAATGCATACAGCCGCAAAGGTCGCAGCTGATCCCTCGCTAGTAAATCACAAAGGACAGATCTAGTGCTTGCACATGTTGAATGCACGTATGCCCAAGATGGTACTTTCGCACCAAGCATGTGCCATGAACGCTGCGGCCACGGCACCGAGGTCGAGATCCGCCACATTGCTGTGAACCTATCAGGTGTCATTAACCAGCAAAGGGCTTATATATGTCGTGTGGAACAACATTGTCGATATGCATGTTTTGCAACACATCCGACGAAGCTGTCATCCAATCGCAGAGAGGCTAGACGAGCACATCTCAGCATGAAGGTCCCCAAACGAGGCTACTTTTTCTCAAAGATGGTCTCTCGTCGAAAGAATTTCACCAGAAATCGCTGAGCCACAATGATCGGCAACATTATCTGACGCATATCAACCTGCAGGCTCCCGACAACCGGGAATGCCCATCTTTGAACCTGCATGATGTGCAACCACAAAACCCCACACACAGCCTTTGTATTCCCCGATGCTGGTCTCATATGGGGGGAAAAAAAGCCCAAAACCATTGTCATGCTGTGTGTCCAATGCCCACTGAATATGGTTCCGAGGCCAAAGTCGATTGACAAATGACTGGATGTAGGTCTCCTTCCAAGGGGGAGATTACTTTGATTGGCGTGTATAGGAGAGCATAGCAGCAGAAAATGACGAGACGGGTCAGCTTGCTTGAACTGAGCAAAGAGACATGTACAATACCATGAACAACAAAGGCCCTACTGTATCATACACCACTGAGCTGCCGAACGGGACTCTCAGCAGAGCAGTAGAATAACCATCGCATGAGCCTAATTCGACGACATTGGTGACACGGCAAAGGCGACACGAGGTGCTTGACACGACATGCCCGTTTGGTCCACTCAGAAATTTCTCCGCCCGCCCTTGGTCTTGTGTCACGGAAGGAAAGTTAGGTCGGGGCGTTGATGGTTCGTCCAGCTGTCGAAGCTCGGTCGCGTTTCCATTCTTACATTCTTTTGTTGGGCCGGAATTGGAATATTTGGCAAGGAAATATTGAAACTCGCTCTCTGAGTACTACAGAAAACTGCTCAATTGTCCGCACCACGATTTACTTGATTTGGAACTACCGGGTAAAGGTAAAGGGGGGGCCCTTTCACGGCAGAGACTATGCAAACTATTCAATAGTCCGGGACAACTATCGAACAACGACACCGACTGTCCTTGCAATGGTCAACCACGAGGATTATACATTTCCGAACCCAACATGGGAGAACACAAAAGCAGTCGACTTTGCGAATAGATCGAGATCATGTACACATGGGACCTATATCGTCGCACAGGCTTAGTCTCTAGTTATTGCTTTCTTTTACACCCCCCTTTCCTCCTTGCCGCCCTTCTTTGGACAAGAGGTCTGCGGCGGGTCCTGCACCTCTCAGGTCATACAGAACCCCGGAGCTGATTTACCAAAAAAGGGAGAATACCCCGGTGGGCTGTTGACCGTGCCGTTGAAACAAGACCGTACTACCGGGTGCATCCATGCCTTGAGAGCGGGGGGAAAACATCTCAGCAGCTGCGTTCACATTTGATAGCTCAGCCAGTGAAGAGAAATTATTGCACTACAGTGATGAAGGGTGTGAGGGGGAAGAGTACTTGATTTTCAGTTATTCTTAACGAACATGGGACTTTTAGGCTGCTGCGTAACAGCATTGCTGGCATATTGATGCAGTATATATTGCATTCACAACTCGCACTACTTACCGCAGTATTCTTTGCTCATCTTAATTGAGTCGAGTCGAATAATTAAAGATAAACATTGGGATAAGTCGTCCATCTTGTTTGTACAGTGACCCAGTACTGGTACATGGTAATGATCCATGATTAGACTCAGTTGATCCTCATAAATCCATCAATCATTTTTTCCGTCTGTCTTCTCATTATCTCTTGATTGGCCATCTTGAGAGAAAATATATCGCGCAATGAAATTAAATTGACTGATAATCATGATCCAAAGTTCGACCTGCCGCACCGGGTCGAAATGCCTCTCTAATTAGTCCTTGTCTCACAATGGCACCATTATATCGGCAGGCCAAATGGACAGGTCTTGCTGCGCGTCTTTTTACCGAGACACATAGTTCACCCACAGCACAATGACAATTGTTTTTTTTTTTTTTTAATGATGGCCCAAAACTTTTTCGGTTTTAATCTCGCATTATTCGAGATTGGCTGCTGACGTCGCCTGGCCCGGAGAGGTTAAAGGAGGAAGACGAAAATGAGGGAAATAATTGTTCTAGTAGCTTTTACGTTGGGAAAGCCCAGCCGGAGATTTGTCTCTTTTCTTGAACAAAAGCATTTTTTCTTTCAGCTGGTTTGCGGGAATTGGATCATGTAGAGAAGAGATAGTTGGGCAAGTAGGTTCTAAATAGAGCGATATCAATAAATGCACAGTCCATCGACGTTAACGGCCGGTTCAGCCTCACGACGTGGCGTTCCTCCGGGGTGGAGGTAGCCCAGAGATCTAGACCTTTCTTTCTTTTTTTCTGCATCATCCCTCTCAAGGCCCGCCTACCGGGAGAGTTGAAGAAGGGATTCAATGACCAATTTCGCCTGCTTATCAATTTTTTCCCTACTAATACAGTCCACTCTCTTTTCTCTTGACCCAGAAAAAGGCAGGCCATTCCAGCCAACTGGGATATCTAGGATACGAACTGCTGGCCAAATCCAGGTGGGCTGGACTGCCTTACAGCCCTGAACTATGAATTATACCGTCCCTCTCGCTCGGTTCATGCTTACTCAACCCAAGCCAAGCTCAATGTAGTGTGCATACATAATGCGGGAGTCATTTCGCCGCCCTGGGGCATTTTTCTTCTTCTTACCCACCGGGTCCTTGATCCCCAGGGGGCATCCGTCGCTACTAACCAAAGAAAGGGCCCAGCTCACCTTTTTACCTGGTAGTAACCCTTCCCGGGGTTCAGGTTCCGCGCAGTCTAATATGGGGTTTTGCTGTAAGTATGGGCTGATTTTTGCTGATTAGCTGGCTGAGCCCAGCTGTGACATGCATAGTGCAGCGCCTAGTATAGCGCTACACTACAGCAAAAAGGCCAAGCCGGCGAGTGCGGGTAGCGTCGCCCTTTCAGCGTGTGGGGACTTGTTTTCTCATCCTCTCTTTAGTTGTAAATCGGTGTGAGAGAGGGTCTGTGAGGGAGATGTATTGTGGTTTTTTTGCTTAACCTGTCTGATCCATCAAAGGGTGTTTTCGGGTTATATGTGGATATCTATGCCCTCGGGACCTGCTGGGTATCACTACATTTCTATACGAGTAAGGCTTCTCGGGTATCTTGCCAATATGATTGCGTCTAACATGAAACATAAACGAAAAAGACAGATTGCAAATGGCTACAAAGCGCATGTAGTGAGCTTGATATTTTGGGCTTCCATCTCACTTCACGCAGGCAAATGACAAAGAACACGATGGGCGAGACAAGGCCAGCGAGCGAGCGGCCGTATGCAGTAGTACAGAAGATGGGGAGGAAGCAAAAGGGCTGTCCCTACGCTCAGACGGGGAAGCGCGAGTAATATTGACCATGATTAGCAGCCGCGCGTATCACTGTACCAACAACCTCTTTCTCTCAGTCTCTTCATGGCCCCGAATGGCTCAACTACTGAGGAAAGCATTAATCCTGCACACCAGTCTTACCCCATCCGACAAAAGAGAACAGCTAGACTCATCAAGGCATGTATTTCACAATCCGTCCGATTTAAAACGGGATTCCGGCACAGGGGAATCTAGCCTGTAAACAGTATCGCTTCGTTTGTGTACTCGCTCGCTGCCCAGCCCCAGGACCGCGCCGGTGTACTAAGGCCAACTAGCTGGGAAAAGCTCAGCTGGGCCTCTCGGTTACCCTAACCTCTCATAGGGGGCTCCGCTTGCAAGGAGGGGGGGCAACCGGAACCCAAGAGTTTACATGGCCTCTCTACCACGTACAGCGAATTAGAGTTCTGATGAATGGGGTTGATGGGTGAAGGGGGATGTCAGAGTCGCGACCAACTAAAAGGCATCCATCGATCGGCCAGACAAACGTCTTGTGGGGTTGGGGGTTTGCTTAGACTTGCCCAGTTCTCTCACTACCAAAATATCTTCTCTGTACTTGCCCCTGAAAGATACAGCTACGAGATGGGTAGGTAGGCAGATGGATACCATCACAAAGACTCGGACCCCAATTCACCAAGCTATTCTGATGAAACAGCGACCGTCATAGAGTCTTGGGAGGACAGCTCCTGGGTTAGCTCGAGACTGATCATGGCCTTAACCTCGCCCGAAAGCCACCCCGTCCTGTTGGAACGTGTCAGGGTGTCTTTATGGCTCTTCAGTGGCTGCCAAATAGAGTTTGACAGAGCCATGTGGAAAGACCCTGCGATAGTTAGGTAGACGCTAGACTAGCTGGATCAGGTAAGAAACCACATGGATCTTGTGTCGTTCATACTATCGATCAAGAGCTAGATTATAGCGACGGATGTTGCTGATACATTGGGGGCTAGTGGGTGGAAATTCCGAGACGTCAATGCTAGGATCGCAAGTCATGTTATAGCAGCAAGAGATCACAGAGCCTGGAAGGGAAGCGTTTGTTATTGTGTGATACGACTTGATTCACCAAGTTTATTACAAACGAACAACTGATACTAATAAAAGCAATAAAGCACGGTGTTTGGCCCGATGAAGGCTTTGAGAAGAACAGTCAAGTCGCTGTATCAAAGTCCACTAAACGGATTCCATTACCGAAACTGCCATCACTGATGAATGAAATTGTTTGCTGAAGAAGTCGTGCCAATCCTGACCAGAACGATTTTGCGCTTGAAAACAAAGCCGAAAGAATTGTCTGTATCTGTAACAACTGCCTCGTAGAGCAAGAAATCAGGAATGACGGAAAGCAGCGCCGTTGTATAACCCAAAGTTGTAAGTCGTAAAATCATTTGGGAAAAAAAAAAAGACCGCCTAGCACAGAGGCATAGGTAGGCATTGGGTATCATGAGAAACAGAGTTCTGCCCTCTATAGTTCGACCAATTCGAGAAGAGAAAGTCGCAAACCCAAGAAAAATGTTGGCGAGTGAACCCACATGATATCCTGCCGTTCGTGGCGAAAAGTACCATGTAATATAATCCGGGGCTCGATGAATAAGGCGGCTGATCCAGTCGAGATCCACGTTTGCCCGAACCGTAAAATCATTACAGTAAGAGAATCAATGAGTAGAGTCTCTCTGTAAAATTTATCGTAAAATATACTGTTACAACCGTGTAAATTCGTGGGCATAATCCGGTTTGGCGAGTCCTGTGATATGCTGATCCGCGGATGGATCCTCCTCTTGAAAACGTGCGAGGTGAATTGCGGCCGTGAATCGTCGTCAGTCGTAGAGAATAGTACACCGCAGTGTCCGCCCAAGTGCACGAAAACACCTTAAGACGAAAAGTCGTGCCCTCCATGTTAAAGAAAAAAGAATAGAATATAGAAGAAAAAGAAAAGATTGCAAAATCATGATGCCAGGAGAGGCATCTGCATTCCAGTACTCCCAGAACTCCAGCTCCGAGTACTCCAGGTATGAGTCGAATCCAGTATGCTTCCATTTCACCATGCCTGAGAGCCGGTACGCCTCTAAACCAAACCATTCTTTTCATTTTATTCCCCGGCCAATGCCCAGCTTGCGCCCTTAGTGTCTATGCTCTCAAAGATGCTGATGCCAATGTACTTTCTTTCCTTTTCGTATGCTGGCATGATCACGCCACATCCGATGCGTAATGTGGAGGTTGTGGTGGCTGGGAGCCGCTGTTGAAATCGTACTCGTTCTCTTCAGTTTTGAGCTCTGACTGCGGAATCTCTGACTGTGGTGATGAGCTGTTGTTTTCTTGTGCCTTGCCCTCGCAATTCTTCACAAGTCTATGTCTCTGTGGGGAAGATATTAGTATCACATCGTAGTCTCTAGGCGTAGGGAAAACTCACCTTGAGGGCGTCCTTGCGAGAGAAGCTTTTGTCACAGAAGTTGCAAGGAAACGGCTTGACTGCAAGGTGAATTCGCTTGTGTCGCTTCAGGTCATGATTCCTATTAAAAGACTGCGAGCAAGTCTCACACTTGTAAGGACGATCCGTCTGGTTGTTTGCTTGGTGTGGATGGGGGTACATGGCAGCATGGTGACTACCCAGCGTGTATGGTGCTCCTGGGTGATATGCTCCAACGCCACCACACACTGTCATTTGGCCTCCAGGATTCGTCATGTTCGATAACACTGCGTTCGGATACTGATAGCCGCTTTGCGGATGGCCGCGGGATCCGTAGTTTGAAAACGGACTGTGGCTGAGAGTGGACATGGAATGTCCGGCGGCTGAAAACGATAGATGGGAGCCCGGAGAGGGCAGCTGCTGGCTTAGATGGGCGCCTGGAGACGGGAGCTGGCTTCCGCCTATGGACTGATGTGGTGATCTTTGTTGTTGTTGCTGTTGGGAGAAGTGGCCAGGCAAAGGCCACTGTCCGTGAAGGGGAGGAAGTGCCATCGTTGTAGGTGTAGGCGGTTGCGTAACGGCGGGTTGTGTATAAGAAGGAGGTTGTGACAAGATGCCGCCGCGGGAAGCACCAGGGGTCAATACCGCCGATGGAGTATGAGTATAGGTGTATGAAGGAGATGCCTGGTTTGCCATTGACCAGGCCGACGATGACTGTCCGTATGGGCCACTGACTCCGCCTTGAGAACTCAGTGAGTGAGAGCTGGTACTGTTCTGGCTCGAGTACTGACTGCCAGGTGGACTTAAACCGTCCAAGCCATTGAGGATAGGGATTCCTGCAACACTGTTAATTCTGGGTCCTGTTTCATGCCTTTTGTGAAGTGGTATCAGGAGGGATCTTTGTGCATACTCGGTGTCGCCTCAACCGCAGTCCGGTCGGGCAGGGTGAACTGTGGCAACCCACCAGCTGCTGGCCGTCTTGATGCAAAGCTTTGCATATATTGGTCTGAGGCCATCTGCGGGGCCATCTGGCTAGATTGCTGGTTGGAGTTTGCAACTCCATTGGGATCCCGAGGGAGATGGTTCGGGTCTTGATGGTTCATGTTGATCCGATTTCCGCTCTTCACTCTTGGGGGGTAGTGAGTAGGAAGAAGGATTAACACAGAAGACGACGGGTTGGACGACTCTTTTCTAGATACCGGGACTAGAAGGAGACAAAAAGTAGTATAGACAGACGGTCAGATCTACAATACTTTTCGAAATCCCGGCGTAGAGCAAGAGAGAAGAAAGCCGTCGGGTTGAATCTCAAAAGATATAAGTAGTCAGCCCACCTAGAAATATTAGTATACAGAGAACCAATGCAGCAGTGGCATGCAGCAGTAAATGTTCTTTGGTGTTGATGAATCTTGGTAGTGGTTGGGGTGGGGACGTTTGATCTACAAGAATGGGCTTGCGGGAGGCGTCTGTCGAGGGGGTCAAATCTCATATATAATAGAACGACGGGACCAGATTGGGCTGATTGGGAGGCCAGGATTGGGGTACATGGAGTTTGATGTGCTATGCTTCCTTTTCCCGACCAAGTAGAGTACGTACCCTATACTGGGCTCTGCTGAACACCCTGGGCTTTGCTTTTCTGGGACGGGATTCCTCTAACCTTGCCCAGGTCGAGAGCGTGGTCCGGGGGGTGCGTCCTTAGAGTCTCGTCTAGCTCGCGCGTGGGCGTGTGGGAAAGGAAGGGAAAGAAACCAAAAACCACTAGGTGCCTTTTTTTTTTTTTTTTTTTGTCCCTCTCGTTGAGCTACTTGTTATGTATGCCGCGCAGAAGGCTATTTGACTTTTGGCTCGCAGCAAGAAAAGCTGCCGCCAGGTATTTGGGCGCGACTGAACTCTATTTCTCTTTCTTCGCAGTGATTATCCTTGGTGCCCCTATTCGCCGGCTTGAAGTTGCGAGTCGTCTTAATGTCTGTCTGTCTACAAGTTCAATCGTTGGTTTCAGACCGTTCGATTTTCCGAGCTTCCCAGTAATGTAGTTTCGAATTGCCAGAGACACTTTGACAGCCTCAGTCAGACATTTGGGACAGACACAATGTGGCCCACAATATCGACTCCGGGAGGATTGGGAAGAGCGCAGAGGGAAAGGATAGGTAAAGTGATAGAGGTAATTTGTACCTGTCACAAGTGTAAAGACCAGTATCTTGTGGCGCCGAATTAGTGACAGCCAGCCACCAGACGGTTGGGCTGATCTCGGAGAGCCGCAAAAAAAAAAAAAAAAAAAGATGAACACCCGTATACTTGGAGAGAAATTCACAGACGAGAAGTAGAAACTGATGGAAAAGAATAAAGTATGAGGAAGCAAGTAAGTAAGTAAGTATGGGCGAGTAAGGGAGGATAGGGCAAGTCTGAAATGTATGAAGAAGGAGGGATCTTTCAAAGGTAGTCTGGTCCTCCCAAGGATTGCCGTCTATGTACTGTAGCTGTTCACGCTTTCCTGCTCGCCACTACCGGCCCAGAAAGTAGTTAGTGCTTGGATACCTGGTTTGCCTGTCTACATACCCTTGAGACCTGCTACATATATTACATAGTACGCACTGCAAATAGAGTTCCCCATATATCGGAAGGTCAGCAGGCAAAGTGCAGAGCAAGAGGGGAGAGAGAAAAGGACAAAAAGAAGTAAAAATAATAATAATAAGCTAGCCTGATGCCCTGGATTCCTTGGCGACCCTCCATCTTTTGCACACCCCCTGCGCATCCAAGATTCCGGGATTGGCTTTATTGACCAGTCCTTATTCGACTCCGCTTAATTGGCACGCTGACTAGATCTGTACAGGGGTTTGTCCGAAACGTCAGGTCGTCCGTCCTTGCAAGAAAAAAAGACTTGGAACTCCAAATAGCTCAGAGCTACGGAAACTTTTTGTGCCTGGATAATGCAGCAGTAGTATGTATGTGCGTATGTATACATATGTAGGCGGCGGTCAGTCTTTCATGCACCATATGCAGTATGGTTTGAATCAGGGGGCTTTGACAGGCAGAGAGAGAGAGAAAAAGAGGAGGGATTGAGTGTGCGTGCTTTGCCCTGCCTGCTCTGGTGTCGCACGGTCAGCGCTGAGTGAGAAAAGGCGCCTCAGCGATGATCACGTAGCTCACGTCCCTAGGAATCGACACGAGAGAAAAGGGCACAATACATACTACCCAGTACCTGGAAGAAGGAGCCACGGGCGGCGCGGCTGGTGGGATGCGATCACCTTGCCCACCTGCTGCCGGGCTAATAAGTAGGTAGGTAGGGTATGTAATGTAGGTAGGTAGGTAGGTAGCTAGCTGGATTGATTGTATGGTAATTAGGCCAGGTAGGTAAAGGGAAGTATGTACTAGGTAGGTATCCATCAGACCTCGTTCGGGGGAATAGCTGTTGAATTGACCAGGGTGTTGCGCTTCCAGCCCCTGGTTTGTCCGTCTGTCTTTCTGTCTGTCGGTTGGCCTAGTCCAAGTGTGTACAAAGCATGTACGTGTAGGTAGGTAGGTATACATATTGTATGTAGGTCTGGTGCGCTACCTGACTTACCTCCTCCTACTACACAGTACTACTAGCAGCTATGAGCAGGGGTGTGCCGACGGATGGATTGCACGGGGGCATGACCGACCCATGAAATAGACTACTGTACCTACCTCCGTCCCTACCTACTTGCCTACGCATGCTCATGAACATGGCAAACCTACATGGCTCTGGAAAGTGAAATAAAACAGAGTTCGTGGCAACATGGCTCAATAGAAGATGTTACCAGAGTCATATAATGAGAGTAGCAAAAGTGATTTGCATATTTTCCCACTCTTTGGCAATGAACAGCTTACCCAAGGCAAGAGATCTCATGAGTGATCATGATGAATAATTTGTCAAAAAGATTCGGAGATGCATTTGAAACTTGATACCCACCTACCACTACCTATGTACTGCCTTACAAACAGCTATTTCCTGCTCACTTGCACACACACACACACTCCTCAGCACGGATGTCGCTCAGCGAAAGAAAATCCCAACCCTGCCTTTTTCCTCGCATCCCACTAGATGACGGTCAGGTCGGCTGCGCGAATGGGGAGGTCTATTGTCTTGGCGGATACGATCAGAGATGGGGTATCCGATCCGGACTAGCCTGTTCAGCTCCAGTAGTAGTGAGAGAACGGACGGGTTCAGCTCGTTTACCAGGAAGACGGAGGGAAGGGTAAGGGGGGGAAGATATCCTGGCATCGCGTGTACATCCCAGCATCCATTCCATTCAGGTCTGTACATGGTAGTAGTCAACTGTGTGCCTACACGGAATTGAGCCCGTATTGTGGGGGGTTTAGAAATCCATTTTCAATAGAGTTGGATGATGCGTTACCACACGAGAGCTGCTGGGCACGTCGCTCATGTTCAGCCCATTCCATGCTGAATTCCCCTCTCATGTACCCCAACTACATACTCGTCCAATTACCGGCCGTGCTTATGATGATGATGGTGACTACTGCGAATTGCACAACACCTACACACCATACAGTGTACATTTAATGGATCTATCACAACATGAACATCAAGGATGCACAAGACTAGAATTAATTACATCAACTGCACGTTATTCGTTCGTCAAGGTCTTTCGGTGCATAATTAACCATTAATTACATGTGTAATACGCGCGACACCAGTCAGACAATGACTGATCCCCAGTTTATATCAATCGTCTTTTCTTTTTTCCTCTTCTATTTCTTGATTACTTTTCATTGCGTGTTTCAGTCTAGCTCGGCGACCACAATGCAAAAAAACATACACCAAAGAGAGCCTCACCCTCCTGTGATTTGAGAAAGCAAAGCAAAGCAGAGCAGGCAACAGGCAAACAGACAGATAGACAACATGTCAGATTGTTTACTCATGCTCACTCAGCCCCAGCCTGGAATGACGGCCAGCCAGACGGCGGGGGGGACTGAATGACTGGATGTCATGCGACGAGACCCAAACTCCGACATATTTTGCGACTGAGTCAAGAGCTGGGGCAGGAAAAAAAAAAAAAANAAAACGTCGTTACTACTACTACCACTACTACTACTACTATTGCAAGTCTTTTTTGCGATCTACTGTCTCCATTATGGAGTCTGTCCATCGGCCCCAAGATTCGTCATCCTCGCCCTCAGTTCCCAAAGGTCTAGAACATGCCGTGGTCCCTCCATCCGTAGTAGGGCACCCATCCCGGCACTAAATTGGCCGCTGCACTATTATGGTTGTCAAGTGCAAGAGAAAAAAAAAGAGTTACAAGGAGAAATAGGTGCACTATGTGCTCTATACTAATTTAGGCAGTTTTTCGTCTTCTGGGACCGCTAAACAAGTCATGAGCCGGTTCGTTCAGCATGCCTCCCGTTCTAGGCACTAGCAAATATTGAGCGCAGCGCCGCCCTGGGCTGATATGTCTGGTCTGGCAACGTTGATTGTATGCGGGCAGGCAAAGGTCAAAGGGGGTAAATTCATTCATGAATACCGCGACCGCTCGTCTGTACGTCTCGTTTAGGAATAAAAATGATTGAAATGATAATTCCCCTTTCTGATGTACCATTGAATTTGTGCGTGCGATTGTATGGTAAGTAGACGTGCAAGTGTCAATAGTTGTCTGTAGGCTGTATGTACTTAGTGCCATGGCTGCTGCTGGTATGTACCCGGGTGGATTAGCTGACGGAGAGGGACCAAGAACCAGCTCAGGGCTGGGGTGGCCTGTCCAGAACCGGCCTAGGTCTGGCTCGCCGCTCGTATGGTCGGAAGATGGGTTGGTAGGTCTGGGCGTGGTATACGTATATCTCATTCATTCCTCTGCTAGGGGCATCGTCCGAGCAAGAGATGGATATTTTGCCGGACGGAATATGATTGCTACGAGACATTTGTTTACAGTATTTCTAGAGGGGGAATTACCCCCCCCTTGAAAGCCCCTACCTCATCACGGTTCATAGCCATGTGTGCAGATGCCCAATTACCATGTCTACTATTACATGCCTTGGAGGCTAGGTTTAGTCAAGAGAGCCCTGCGTCCACAACTCGGTACGAGCCGAGGGCTCTGTCTGATCATTGCCTGAATGGTCATTAATGCTCCCC